TTTTTTTTCTAATGTCCATTCCTCCTGTGTGACAAAAAACTTGAAGGTTTAAGGGTTCCTGGTTTTCTCAATGGACACCAAGAAAAGTAATTTATGGTAAGAATGAAACTTTTATTTTATGGAAAAGAAAAAACACTGCAAAAATGTAAAATACTTGATTGTTCTGTGCTTGTACTTGCATTTATTAAATTAACTATAAACTAGTGAGCCAGATGCACGAAGCTGTCTATAAAAATGTTAAATGTGGCATTTCGAGTACTATATTATTATCATTATACCAAAATGGTATTACAGGCAATAATGTAAAGCCGGTAACTCTGGTGAGACACCTGCCCAGATTTGTTGCACTCTTAAAACTGTTCCAGGCTGGTATACCCCAAGTTTGCCCCATTTTGGCTCTGCCTCCATTCTGTACACTACCACTATATGCCCAAGGAAATCCCCCCCCCCCCCCCCCCCCCCTCAGCTGGGTCTCCCTCTGAGCCTACAGTGGCACCTGAAGCTTGCAATCATTTATTCATATATGCTAAATCTTGTGCTTATATGCAGATCAAAGGCTTACCCTTTATTACATTACAAACATTGTCACATCTTCTCATTCATATTACAGTTAAAATTAATTAAAAAGTAGCCTGCAGCAAAGAAATTAGCAAGCAAATAGTGAATTAGGCAAAAATATGGAAGCGATCTAATGCAAAAAGTGACCAGAGGTAATTGCTTCCCATTTTTTTTTTTTTAATGCTTTAGGCCCAACGTGCAGGTCAGGCACAAAGAACATAAAATGTTAAAGTACATATCTGGGTTATTACCTAAATATGCCCCTAAGTTTCCTAGAGCATCATTTTTTTTTTGTTTAATTTACCTCAGTCATGTAGAGGGAAACAGCTTTTATTACTCATTGTGACATCACCACCAGGCTTGAAATATCCATGCAGGAGCAAGTTACTGGAATCTCAGTTCCTATTGATGTAGGCATGTCCTCCAGAGCTACATCTCCCAAGATCCCATCCCTAAACAGTGTGGGCAGGAACATGGGAGTCAAGGCAGCAGCAGTGTTTTCTGGGAAAGAAATCAGAGTATTCAATGTATTAGAGTGGAGAGTGAAAGAGAGGGGTGGGGAAAAATGGAGTTCTGTAATTCAAAGTACAGGGCTGACAACACTGGATCTTAGTACATCAGAAGCATTGTGTGTCTTTACAGCACTAGAAATAAAAGGTAAGATAATGATTGATAGTGCCCAAGAGGAAAAGACTGACAACCTGGGAAAACAGGTCAAACTAAAGCTGGCCATACATGGATTGAAAATTGGCTGGTTCAGCAGGAACCGGTCAAATTTTAATGCAGGTATGAGCACGTTGATTGCACATCAATGGATGTACAACCATCCTGTTTTTTTCCTTGCTCGATCAGCACCGCAAGCTACAGCCGGCAGCGCTGATCACTGTATTCTGATAGTGGGGAAGTCTCCCCACTGACAGTAATCAGTAGCTCTGCAGGATTCCCCTATCGATCTCAAATGTGTGGATGGGAAATTTGTGTCAGATTTTTTTTTTTCATTCAACCCACCGGTTGAACAAAAAAATAAAACAAAACTGACTAGTATGGGCTGCCTAACCCTGTCAGTCACCTGAAAAAAAGAATCTGCCTAGAATAGGAGAGCTATTATACTACTTTCCCTTGGTTCCAGTTCTGCAGCTTCCTTTAGGGCTCAGAGACTTCAGTTTTTCTACATGCGTTCTGCACAGGACATAATTAAATCAATTGTTCCCTATGTGCCCTGTTCACACCACACTAGTATCACATGCAGATTTGTTCTGTGCAGGAATCTGCAATGTGTATAAAACTCATTGAAATGCGCATGAAAACTGATGTCTCTGCTCCTGAAATCTGGGCGTCAGTTTAAATTAGTTTTTCTACACTTATGGTGTGAACAAGGCCTTAGACTCTTTAGCATTCTATATATTCAGGAATTGTCAGATGAGTGTGTCCTCTGTCACAAACTGTGGTTTGTTCTTCCAACTGCGTTGTCATTACCCTGTCCTGTAGTGATGTAGGGGTGGAGGACAGAACTGCAGTGTGCAGCAGTGGATATAGGTATCCAAAACTGTCAAAACCTGAAGACTGACAGTCTGCAGCACTGGAATGGAGGGAAAGAAGCAGATACAGGATAGTGTCTTTTTAAATTTTTTTTTTAGACTAATAGGATCGCTTGAACCCTTTCGCTGCCAGAGCCGTTTTTGCGGTTTTTTGCACGTTTAAAAAAAATAATTTTAGGCCTGAAGATTATACAAAACCCTCCAAACATTATATATTTTCTGAAAGCAGAGACCCTAGAGAATAAAATTGTGGCAGTTCCACTAGTAGTTGATTATTTTTGTTACATTTTTTGCACTTATGTTTTACTTTTTATAGTTAAGGAGTCTGCCTGTCAGTTTTATACTCAATCCCTGTGGCTGCAGTCACCGGACTGTGTATGCCTCCCGCTGTTAAAAGTGTTAACGTGTCTCCTGCTAAATGTCCCTTCTGTTTGAAATTAAAGAGGAGCTTCAGTCGGGTATGTAAAAATTAAAAATCAGCGGTACAAAACTGCTGAATTTTAATATACAGACTCTCACCTGCCCTGGGACCCAGCACTGTACTCACTCAAGCTGGTTTATACACCGGTCTTCGGTCCCTGGCACCTGCATCTTAACTGTTGGTAGCAGGTTGTGACTCCTTGCAGCTTCACAGCCGGTTGCTCACTGTGCACGTGCGAGCCGCATTGCGCTTTGTGAATGGTCCCTCAGTCTAGGAGATCCGAGCGGAAGTGGCAATGGGTACCTGTCAAAACTAAGAACCTGCTCTCCCCCCCCCCCCCCCCCTCAAAAAAAAAATACCATCCAAGTGTGATAGAGGAGGGAGGGAGGAGAATAATCAGCAGGACTTCCCCTTTTGGGTGAAGTTCAGCTTTAAGTAGGACAGATACATTTCAAACACAGTTTACATGAATCATCAGTGATAGATTACATAGAATGACAAATAGATTAGATACTAGATAGATCAGTGATCTCCAAACTGCGGCCCATGGGCAAGATGTGGCCCCTCTTTTGCTTTTATTTGGCCCTTGGGGCACTATTTAATCCACTGATATCAACAATGGGGCACAATTCCCCTTCACTGACACCAATACCTCCCAATGACACCAATGATGAGACACAATTTGTTCAAATGACACCAATGATTGGGCACAATTTCTCCCAATGACACTAACGATGGGACACAATTCCTCCCAATGACAACGATGGGACATAATTTCTCCCAATGACAATAACAATGGGGCCCAATGACGGAACACAATTCCTCCCAATGACACCAACAATGGGGCTCAGTGATACCAATGATGACACACAATTCCTACCAATGGCACCAATGATGGGGCACAATTTCTCCCAATGACACCAATTAAAGGACACAGTTCATCCCACTGACACCAAAGATGGGGCATTGTTTTCTTTACTGATGTTGGGACCTTTTTCACACTCAAAGGCCACAGTCTGGCTCCCCTAAAGTCTAAAGGACAGTAAACTGGCCCTTTGTGTAGAAGGTTTGAAGACCCGAAATAGAATTTCAAATGATAAGAGTAGACAACCCCCACCCAACTTTTTTCCCTACATGCACATCTCTCCCTAGTCTCTTCACTCATAGCACCTAAACCACTTTTCTGATCACAGCCAATTATTTTGCCTTTAGCAACCTCAACTCTTGCTCACAGCTAATCCCTGCCTGCATCCACAGTACATGCTTGTCTCCCCCACTACCACCTTCTCACTGGTCTCTGTCCCCCACTAGCTGAAAATAGTTCCGTCTCCCCTACACTGTTCTCTGCCCCCACCTCACATTTTCTATGTGTCCACCTTACCCGCAACTTACAGTTCACTACCTATCCCAAACCCGCCCACTACCACCACCAACTTTGCTTGGACTAACTCACAGACCCCATGCCGACGACAAACTGCATTCACTCCCCGCTCACAGGCACATCCCTCCCAACATCCTCCATTTGTAAGTACGATTTTCTTCTCTTTCTTAAATTATACACATAGGTAAAAAACATAGTCATTCACAAACGTTCTTGTTCTGGAATGGATACACACTAGTTAAAATTTTTAAAACAGCATACAAAAATGGCACACACAGAATTTAGATGATGTAAAGATATACAGATGAGCAGACATACATAAACAGACATGGTCTAGAAAAACAGTTCAAGCATCTTTCAGACAACCACTTCACAACTGACAATTTTTTTCTTTTATTTCATTTTTTTTTCTTTTATTTTTTAATGAAATAATAAAAATGAAGGCACCCTCCCCCGTATCTTCCCTGTTTGGAAGGCGGAGGGGTACTTATTGCCTGCTCCCCAGCTGTAAAATAATATCATATATATTTTATCTGTATTTATAAACTTGTGCAGATCACGTTTCTTCTCCGATAACGGAAAATAAAAAAAAAATTATACAAAACATTAAAAAAAAAAAAAAAAAGAAAAGAGCTGCACCCTAACTTCCACGCATAAGAAACCAAAAAATCATTTTGAAAATGAAAACCAATCACCAGCTGTAAATAAAAGGGAAGGTAATATTCCCTGGAACCTTTATAGAGAATATAGAACATCATTGGCTGTCTGGTGGCAAAAGAATAGTCATAAAATGGCGTTAGGAGCAACCGTGATAAAAGTTGGATGGCGCTCAGTATAAACACAAATTGGATGTTTTGGAGTCCTTTCTCATAAAACCGTATGTGACACTTTAAAAAGATGAGTGGGTGTGGTTTTTAAAACCAAATAAAAAAAATTAAAATAAAATATAATATTTATATATATTTATAGTGAAACCCCAAGGGGCTGGGGACTGGAGGACACAGGAGGGTTCCTGGATTGGCAGTCGGAGATTCTGACACGATGATGGGTCCCTTGGACCGTCCTTGTGTCTGAAATGTTCTTATATATTTTTTTTTTTTTTTCATACAGATATCTCATATGTGGTTCCGCCCACACCTGACACAGTTTTTACACCTCCTGGGCGTGAAGGGCTGACTGGTGGGGAGACAGAAGCTTGGCCGTTGCTGCGGGAGTGAACCGACTTTGCAGGAGACTCATCCCTATAGAGACATAAAAAAAACAAACAAAAAACATGAGGGAAACTAACAACAAGCTGACATTTTTAGTAAATTAAACAAAAAAAAAGTCTTCTGGCCAATCAGTGGTCTCTCTTTTTTTCCTGTGGCGGAGGTGGGCAGTCCTTTCTCATATAATGCTGTGTGAATGCCATCCAGTGAAGTAATACTCTGAGCCCAAGCTGCATGACAATGCTCCCCGGGGCCATGACAGCCTAGACTTAAAAGTAATGGGTTGAAATAATCTGGCCGTCATTCGACCTGAACTAAAGGACATCCAGAGAAAAAAAATGAAATACTGAGAGAGAAAGCTCTGGATTGAAAGCGAGTATTGATGTACCTGTTAATTCTATATCTTGGAGTACAGTACACAACACAGGCAACCTATTCATACACAATGGGTAAAAGCTTTGTACCTTCAGGTCATTGGATCCTGGCAAGGATACGCAGGCCCCCCCCCCCCCCCACCATAATCCTACCCCAGCTCCAGGAGTCCTCCGTATTGTAGCAAGCACTGCAGAGTAACAAGGTGAGTTTAGGGAGGTTGATGTGTGTTCTCTACAGTGCTACAAGATATGCTGGGGTGCGGACATTTAAAAAAAGAAAAATGTGCCCAAGGGACTAATTTGGAGTCCCAATCTACTTGTCTCTCATGACAATCTACTTAATAAAAAAAAAAATTCAACCAAAACCGTATTTAAATCGGAGGTGCTTTTAGGAACGTCAGGGCTGTTAAAAAACAAAAAGGGCTTTATGGCAACTTAAACATTTAATATTGTAACATTGCGTGGTTTATATCATCCTCCCCTCCCTGCCTGTCTCCAGCACCGCACCCGGGGACTAGCAGGGAGGAGAGAGACCTTGCAGTGTAATGAGCACCAATTGGCTGCTCCTCAGGAAAGGGGAGTGTCGTGCTTATCCTTTATCCTTTTTGCTGCCAGAGCCGTTTTTTGCGTTTTTTTGCACGCGTTTAAAAAAAATCATTTTAAGACTGAAGATTATACAAAACCTTTCAAAAATTATATATTTTCTGAAAGCAGACACCCCAGAGAATACAATAGTGGTAGTTCCACTGGTAGTTGATTATTTTTGTTAAATTTTTTGATGTCTCTCTTTTTTATTTTTATTTTTTGTTTTAAGGTTGGTCTTTGTATTGTCTTATATTGAGGTGATGGCTATTAGCAGTCTTTACTCAAGTGTCTACATTGCAATTTTGCTAATAAAAGCATATTTTGATAATTAATCTGAGTATTGCATTGTCCTTTATGTAACCGCTTTTTCTTGTGAATTCTCTGTTCACATTTTTCTGCAGGCTTTTTTGGTTCTTGGGCAAAACATTGTGTATTTTAAGCGATACCTATCACTTTTAAGCCTCCATTTATATAGTTATTTAGTGTAGTTCCACTGGTAGTTGCTTACTTTTGTTAATTTTTTTGCATATTTTTAACTTTTTATAGTCAATTTTACTTTTGACCACAATATGGTGGATTATAGAAGTCAACACTTATGTTGCTATAGTACCATTCATGAGATAGCACTGAATATGTTTAGCACTGCAATTTGTATGCAGGGTTAACTATCAATCTCTGCCCTGTGTTCTCTGCTCTAATTAAACTGTCTTCCTTCTTGTGGTGTTCTGTATAAAAGGGATGAGTAGCAGAATGTGCCCTGTGCTCCTGAGGACGAAACTTGTAGGGAAGAGACGGAGCACGCGCCACTATGCACACATGTGCATGTAATCCCGCTGCTGCCATCTTGGATTCTGGAACATGAGTTGTTTGTGTAATATGAAGTACCTGATTGTTATCTTTTCATTGTAAGTGCATTTACCGCATTGAATTAGTGTTTTAATCAGAATTACACTACGGCAAATCTTTTTCTGTTTCACAATACTATGCACAGCGATCTATTAGAACACAGCAGTACCATCATTTGACAAGTGGGTTTGAGGAAATCTTGAATTGACACACAAGTGCTGGTTGACCACTCTTAATTGGGAGTCATATGATTCCTGGTATGTCTTCCTCTGTTGTACACTGAGCTGCTGTGTGGTTTATCATTTAAGAAGTTTGGTATCCACATTTGTCACTTCTCTCATAATCAAAGAACCACTGAATTCAGTTTTTGTCTTCGCATTTGGATTCATTTGTTTAATTTTTTTAAATTTGTGGTGACACATAAGAGTTTGATATATTTGCATTTCAAATATATTTGAAAATTGATCAGTTGAGAACCTAAAATGCTGGACGCTGGTAGGACGTATGGCAGTGATTAGGAAGCTGGTATAGGGTATGGCGGTGATCAGGACACTGGCATGGGGTATAGCAGTGATTAGGACGCTGGTATAGGGTATGGCGGTGATCAGGATGCTGGTATGGGGCATGGCGGTGATCAGGATGCTGGTATGGGGTATGGCAGTGATACAGACGCTGGTATGGGGTATGGCGGTCATCAGGATGCTGGTATGGCGGTGATCAGGACACTGGTATGGCGTATGGTGGTGATCAGGAGGCTGGTATGGTGGCGATTAGGACACTGATATGGTGGTGATCAGGGCGCTGGTATGGCATATGGGGTGATCAGGGTGATGGTATGGGGTACAGTGATGATCAGAGTGATGGTATGGGGTACAGTGATCAGGCTGGTGGTATGGTGTATGGCAGTGATCAGGGTGCTGGTATGGTGGTGATCAGGGTGCTGGTATGGTATGTGACAGTGATCAGGGTGCTTGTATGGCGTAAGGCAGTGATCAGAACGATGCTGGTATGAAGTATTGCGGTAGAAAATCTTTTTCTTGAATTCCATTGAGTGCTACAAGAAATCTTTCACTTTCAGGTTATACTGTTGCCTTCAGGATTGGACACTGGCAAACAAAAAAATGTAGTCCAGCCCAGGATAATGACTCCTACTACCATCACACTTCAAATTTGAAGTAAAGCAGTACTGACAGCATGATCATAAACACAGAGGGTTAGGACTTGTGTCCCTCAATGAACTGTAAGAAAAGGATTTTATGGCAAGTGCAAAAATTCTTCTCCATTGGAGCCTCAAGAAGTCTTTCACCTTTGGGATGTCCAAAAACAGCCTAACTGCAAGGGTTGGGCAACACAACAAACAAATATTAAATTGTTACTAGACTCACTGTGGAACCTAAGAAGTTGATTCCTCTGTATGGTTTATGAATGCTGTTTGATCCTGACTTCTCTGTTCCTCCCCTTCTTCCAATGCCCCCCTCTTAACTCCTGATAAGACATATTGTGTGGAGTCACTCTCCACATGCTCTGTTTCGTGTGTATTGCTAGCGAGGTTTTTTTTTGGGGTGGGGGAGTGCATATGATCAGCACAGGGCTAATTAGCACTGTCCAGACAGAGGCCAGGGGCTCTGCATCTTCTTAAAATGAAAACTCCTCCTACAAGCTTTAGCATGTGCTTTGCTGGGTGCTTATAGAAGTCACAAGACTGCTCTAACTGCTGTTGAGATATATAGCAGTTTATATTTACTAAAATAATTGCACTTCCATGTTCTGTGTACTGTGGGAGACCAGATAGAGTGAATGCAGGGTCCCGGGTTTAGTAACACTTTAAAGTGGAATTCCAGCAATAATCTAACTCTAAACCCACTCCCACCCCCATTCTATGCCTAATCTAGCTAACCCTGTAAAGGTCGCTAAACTTACCTATTCTGAAGCAGCTCCAGTCCGGTCTGCAGCGGCGGCTTCTGTGAGCAGAGAAAAAGGCAACAACAGCTGGGAATTGCTTGGGAGATGATGCCACCCATAAACTTACTATGGGGCATCCATTTCCGGCTGCTTCTCCTCTACACAGAAGAGTCTGCTGACAGCTCAGCCTGACACCAGACCGGCGCGAATTCTATATAGCAATCTTTTTTTTTACAGGGTTGGATAGATTAGCCTTAGAATTGGGGTGGGAGTAGGTTTAGCCTTAGAATATGACCGGAATTCCACTTTAACTGGCACAAGAAAAAAAAAAAAAAAAACAGAACTGGAGAATGCCATGCAGCTCAAAAAACCTCCCAAAGGACAAGATTGATGGCAGGATCCTTAGGGCAGTAGGAAAAGACTGGAGTTTGCAGTTCCTTGTTGTGCTTTGCAATACAGGAGCTGCAGCAGGATAATGCTTTCTCTATGCTGAATGGGGGGGAAGTAAAGTGTGGAGCATGCGCATGACACTCCACACCAGAGGATGATGTCAGTGATCAGTCTGTCAGAGCTAACCCATTTTGAGATTAAACCAGCAAACTGTGCAAATTGTGAGGTAGCTCCTGGTGTTTCAGCCTAACTGATCTTACTTAACAGAGTGAATCTTTAGAGATAGGACAAGGGCTCTGGACCTGGAAAGAAATCAACTGCTAACGTTTTCCAGTAAGGGACGATCTCAAAAGACAGCACAAGCAAAGCCCAGTGCCTGAAGGTATGGAAAGCACAAGTGAAACACAGTGCTGAAGGTCACATACCAGGCTAGCCCCCATGGCCCAATCTAGCAGGGTCCTGGTACGGCACTCCAAAGTCAAGCTTAGGAAAGGCTAATCCAGATAGGTGCTATAGAGAGACCAGCTCAATCAGCGATGTTGTGAATAATCTTGCTTTAAGTCAATGGAAGAAAAAAATCCAAAGAGAAAAGAGCTAGTAAAGATTGGTTAGTCTTCTCTCAGCAGAGCTGAAGAAAAGATATCCATCCTCATAGAACACTAGCAAAAACTGAGGTGTACTGGATAGAGGAGGGGTTACCCTGGATTGGCCTACAAATTTTACGTTTGCCGGTGTCCAAGCCTCATGTAGGTAGCAGTATAAGACAACTGTGTCTGGACAAATGACTTAACCACCTCCTGTCCGGCCGTTGTATATAAATGGCGGATCGGTGGCAGTGCAAGGTCAGGTGGCCATTTATAAATGGCCTCCCTGCACCCTGCTTGTGCACGCTCCCTGGGAGCGCGCAGCACCGCGATCCGGTGCCCGCTGTGTCCTCCGGGTCCCGATCATGTGATCACTGATTGGCCAATAAGTGGTCACATGCAGAGTAGTAAGCAAGATGTCACTTCTGACATCATTGCTTACTACGTGTGAAATCTGTGAATGATCACAGAGGTCACATGGTACAAGGCTATTCACAACAGCCTTGTACCATGTGACAAGCTGTGACCAATCACAGCTCACTCAGTAGTTCTCAATGGCTGCAAGAATGCAGCTAGAGAGAAGGAGAAATTATTGCTTTTACATCCTTTATGGGTGTAAAAGCAATCAGTGTAAAAAAAAAAAAAAAAAAAATCTTCATCACCCCCACAAGGGTTACAGTATGTAAAAATAAATAAAAAATATTTAAAAAAAAAAAAATAAAAAAATGTTTAAAAATTATAATTTTTGGTTATAAACTAATTTGGGTTATTTTTTTTTTTTTTACTAAAAAAATAACGGAATAAATTTTGGCTAAGATTTGTGATGAAATACTATTTATTTGCAAAATTGTATAAGAAAAACACTTTTTTTTCAAAATTTGTGGACTTTTTAATTTACATAGCAAAATAAAAATCCCACTGGTGAATAAATACCACCAAAATAAAGCTTTATCTGTCTCAAAAAAATGCTAAAAAATTCATATGGGTACAGTGTTGCATGACCGCGCAATTGTCATTTAAAGTGTGATAGCACTGAAAGCTGAAAATTGGCCTGGACAGGAAGGGGGTAAAAGTGTCCGGACTAGAAGTGGTTAATGGACAAAAAGAAAATAGTTTAGTCTTTTACACAGCAGAGCTTAGGAAAAAAAGTTCATCTTTCTAGAACACTAGCAAAAACAGACATTTTAGTAGTAGATGGGGTTATCCTGGTCTGGCCTATATAGATTTTTCCTTGCAAGTGACCAATCTCCTTGTAAGTGGCTGTATAACCCAAAGGTGAAAGACTTCCTGTGTCACTCAAAGAACGAGAATTAAACTTCTTTTATTGCAACTTCCGCCAAACCCTTTTTTTTTTTTTTTTTTTTTTTTTTTTACAGTGTGTGGGGTGAGTTAGAACCCCTGGTAGAAACAAGTTTAGGTTGCTACAACTAGCTACTGAGGAACATTGACTTCCAGGTTCACAACCCTTGTTAAAAAAATTAAAGGAGCCCCAGAAGTACCCAGAGTCAAGCGCTTCAATGTTTATTCCACACAAATTCCCCTTTGCTCTCCTTCCTGTTTCAACTCTATGACCACCATGACGTATTTGATAAGTCCTCTATAGTCAATTAAAGGTTAACTTCAAGATTACTATGACTTTAAATAGTTTGTTTGGATAAGCTGGCCCAACATACTATTTATTTTACTAATCAATGCAGCAGCTGTAACTTCTGTACAACCTGTATGTAGCATCAGTTACATGCAGTATACAGAGCTGTGTTCTGGCAGGGGTATGACAATATTCTGCCCCATTCCTGGAACAAAATCGAATCAGGCTAAGCACATCTCAGCCATCCATGTAAATATAAGACTTTGTCTGATTGGTTGAGTTGGAGAGGTGGGCAAATGATGTCATGATCTCATACTTACATACTTAATCTGGCTGAAAAAAGACAAAAGTCCATCCAGTTCAAAAAAAAAAAAAAAAAGAAAAAAAAGTTATAATCCTACACTCACAGTCTCCACCTCAGCCAACCAGAGGAAGTCTTGTATTCATTCATAAAAATACAAGGCTTCTTGTCAATGGCTAAGCAGCACTCAGAATGACTTAATTTTGTTTTGGGAACGTAATGGGATGTCCCTGAAACACTGCTGGAATGCAGCTCTGTATACAATGTTTAGCTCATGCTACATACAGTTTATACAGCACCAGCTTGGACCAAATAAACTATTTAAAGTCCCAGCATTCATGGAGTTAAACTCCATAATTATATCCTAGTAAGCAATTGAATTCTCATAGCCTTTAAGAAGTTAAACTTACTTTAGTGTCAACAAAGGTAAAGCTGCTGCATCTGAATCACCTCCTACCCGGTGATGCGAGATTCGCGGCTTGCCATAACGAGGAGCAATTGGAGGAGGGCAGGCTGGTCGGAGACGCTCTCGAGCTGACAGGTACGGAGAAGAGTACCCAGCGGTTTCTGGTTCTGTCTCGTCAGAAGGGCTCAGTAGGCTCTGGTAAGAAAGACTTCCATTCTGTGTCTGATTTAAGCTTTTGTATGAGGTGGATGTTGTTCCTTCTGACGGAAGAGAGGGAAGTTGTGCAGATGTACCAGTGGCAGAGCGCAAACTGGAGGACCGAGCTGGTGGTGGGTGACAGGACTCCGGCTCTAGGCTGGGCTCTGAGCGAGAACTGGGAGGGCGAGATAAGTCAGAGGTGGGCATTGGCGAGTCCTGGAGACTGTCCACACGAGGAAGCTGTGTAACAAAGGAAAACCAAGATGAAATGTTACACAACACATGAAGCAGAGATGTACAGCAGATTTTTCTAAAGTGCAACTGTCATAACTATTTCACTGTTCTAGCCCTGCTCCATTTTTTACCTCGGGTGACCAAACCAGTTTATGCACACTAATTCAATTCACGAAAAAGACTTTGAAGCTAATCTCAAGGCAAACCGCTAAATATGTAGATACATTGCATATTAAAGAGTTGTTTTTCCTGCAAAAAGTTTGTATTTCTGTCCATCCACTTTACAGAGTGTAGCCCTGTCACACAGCCTAGCCCTATCTGGCATGGAAAAAGATCATATTTTTCTCTGCTGTGGTTAAAGGATAAGTTAATCTTTAATATATATATATATATATATATATATATATATATATATATATATATATATATATATATATATATATATATATATATATATATATCCACATCCTGTGTTGCTGTAAAAAAAAAATGTATTATATTTTTTCTAAGGAGTCTGCAGAGCATTGCACCTGAGATCAGTAGATTGCAGGTGCAATGCCAGGATCCTGCAGACTCTCAAGCAGCTGTTTACCTGTATCTCCCATATGGGCAGACAGTTACTGAATTGCAGAAAGAATCAATGAAATACGCGAGAGTTCAAAGAGCCCTTTTGCAGTTCATTGAGAACATCAAGCTGTTGGCTGCAGCATCCGATATCTATTTTTCATTTATTCACAGAACCCTGTGAATGAATGACACGGCTGTGTGGGCAGAGCCCCAATCAGCTGCACTGTGTTTAATTCTGACACTGGGTGCTGGGAGAGGATCCCCCATCCGCTGTCAGAGGGAGGGGGGACGCGGGGGTAGAGGAGGCAGGAGCTGGTACATGTTACATGTTCCACCCTAAATACAGGTGGAACATGTAACATGTTCCAAAGGTGAACCTATCCTAAAGCCGGCCATACACGGGTCGAATTCCGAAATAATTTTCTGTAGATAATCTTTTTAAAGAATTTTTGTTCTAATTTCGCACCATTAGTGGGTCGTAGAAACGGCCGATTTTCGTGTGACCATCGAATCTGAGTGTCAGGCATGTTGGAAATTTTTTGAAAAACTAAAGAATTTCAAATCAATGATGGGAGAATCGTGAAAGAAATATAAACGAAAAAAAGATATGAGCGTGAGCTGTGACCTGGAAAGAAAAGAAAATTCTTGGCTACGAAAATCCTTTTCTGTAGCAACAAGAGGAGAAATTGAAGGCTTGGTTGGTTGAATTTCGAAATCAATGGTGGCACCATTGGATTACAAAACGCACAAAATTTCCAATTTTGTAAAGAAAATGTGTTTGGAATTCGATCTATGTATGGCCTACATAACTAACATCTAAGAGATGTGTGTTTGCACAAAAGTGTTAAGATGTGCGTTAACATGCACTGTGTTAAGACACTGCATTCATATGAATGTGCTAACACACCAAAAAGGTACATGCTGAATTTATGGCAGCACTCCATAAAGCACATCAGTGTGAATCTTGTTCACTTATAACTATATATTACAGCCAGAAAGCCACCGCATTAAAACGGTTGCAGGGCGGCACGGGAAGACAGTTTTGTCAGCAGCGGGTGTCAGCCGCCGGGTCACGCCGGTGATTACCGGGCCGTTTCCCTGGGATTCGCGGTGATCGCTGACAGAGAGCAGGGCTGCATTGTTTACACACAGCCCTGCTCTGTGTCAGTTCTCCGACAGCTCGTGACAAGCTGCAGAGGGAGAGAAGAGTTTCTCTCCCTCGATCAGCCTGCCCCCGTCCAGCACACCCCCCCGCCCCCTAGTAAAACACTCCCCTCACAGAGTTAACACTAAAAATGTTAACCCCTTCCTCCCCAGTGCCATTAGTACAGTGTCAGTGGGTTTTTTTTTTTTTTTTCACTGATCACTGTATTGGTGTCACTGGGGATGTCAGTGACCCCAAGTCAGTTCCCCCCAGTGTCAAAATGTCCGCCGCAGTCCTGCCATAAGTTGCTGATTGCCGCCATATGTCGCTGATCGCCGCCATTATTAGTATAAATAAAAAAAATCCCAGTATCTTTGCCGCCATTTGGAAAAGCTATAACTTTCATGTAAACCAATTAATTTACACGTATTGGGATATTTTTTAGCAAAGACATGTTGCAGAATGCATTTTGGATGAAATGTGTGACAAAATTTGATTTTTTAATTTTTTTTACTGGACATGTTTTATAGCAAAAAGTCCAGAATATTGTTTTTTTTTTTTTCCTCAAAATTGTCAGTCTTTTTTTTTTATAGCGCAAAAAATTAAAAATGCACAGGCGATCAAATACCACCGAAAGAAAGCTCAATTTGGGGAAAAAAAGGATGTAAATTTAATTTGGGTGCAGTGTTGCATGACCGCGCAATTATCAGTTAAAGTAACGCAGCGCCGTAACACAAACCTCTTCTGTAACCGCTTCCAGACCACCCTACAGCAGAAATACTGCTACAAGGCGGCATGGGTACGCAAAATCATATATATATATATATATATATATATATATATATATATATATATATATATATATATATATATATATATACACACATATATACAATTGCAAGAAAAAGTATGTGAACCCCTTGGGATTACGTGGAGTTTTGCATAAATTGGGCATAAAGTGTGCTCTGAACGTCATCTAAGTCACAACAATAGAAGAACACAGTCTGCTGAACATAATACTACACAAACATTACATGTTGCCATGGTTTAATTGCACAGAACATGTAAACATTCACAGTGCAGTGAGGAAAAAGTATGTGAACCTTTGGACTTAATAACTGGTTGACCCTCCTTTGGCAGCAATAACCTCAACCAAACGTTTCCTGTAGTTGCAGATCAGACCTGCACAATGATCTGGAGTAATTTTGGACCACTCCTCTTCACAAAACTGTTTCAGTGTAGCAATATTCTTGGGATGTCTGGTGTGAATCGCTCTCTTAAGGTCATGCCACAGCATTTCAATCGGGTTGAGGTCAGGACTCTCCTGGGCCACTCCAGAAGGCGTATTCTGTGCTGTTGCAGCCATAGTTTTGTTGAATTACTTGTATGCTTTGGGTCACTGTCCTGTTGCATCACCCATCCTCTGTGGAGCTTCAGTTGGCGGACAGATGGTCGTACGTTTTCCTGCAAAATGTCTTGATAAACTCTGGAATTCATTTTCCCATCAATGACAACAATCCGTCCAGGCCCTGAGGCAGCAATGCAGCCCCAAACCATGATGCTCCCTCCGCCATGTTTTACAGTGGGGATGAGGTTTGATGTTGGTGTGCTGTGCCTTTTTTTCTCCACACATAGTGTTGTGTGTTCTTCCCAAACAACTCAATCTTGGTTTCATCTGTCCACAGTATATTTTGCCAGTAGTGCTGTGGAACATCCAGGTGCTCTTTTGCAAACTTCAAACGTGCTGCAATATTCTTTTTGGACAGCAATGGCTTCCTCCGTGGTGTCCTCCCATGTACTTGTTTCATTCTTGTTTAATGTTTTCCTTATTGTAGATGTGTCAACAAAAATGTTAGCATGTGCCAGAGATTTCTGTAGGTCTTTAGCTGACACTCTGGGATTCTTCTTTACCTCATGCAGCATTCTGCGCTGTGCTCTTGCAGTCATTTTTACAGGACGACCACGCCTAGAGAGAGTAGCAACAGTGCTAAACTTTCTTCATTTGTAGACAGTCTGTCTTACCGTGGACACATGAACATCAAGGCTTTTGGAGATACTTTAGTAACCCTTTCCAGCTTCATGCAAGTCAACAATTCTTGATCATAGGTCTTCTGAGAGCTCTTTTCTGCGAGGCATGGTTCACATCAGACAGTGCTTGAAACCAGTAAACCCAAAACAGGTGTGTGTTTTTTAAGGGCAGGACAGCTGTCAGCAACACATCCAATATCATCACACTGATTGGAGTCAAGGTTGGCTCACTCCTGGCTCCAATTAGCTCTGGGAGAAGTCATTAAGCTAGGGCCTCACATACTTTTTCCTCCCTGCACTGTGAATGTTTACATGTTATGTGCAATTAAACCATGGCAACATCTAATGTTTGTGTAGTATTATGTTCAGCAGACTGTGTTCTTCTATTGTTGTGACTTCGATGACGTTCAGAGCACATTTTATGCCCAATTCATGCAAAACTCCACTTAATCCCAAGGGGTTCACATACTTTTTCTTGCAACTGTATATATATATATATATATATATATATATATATATATATATATATATATATATATATAATACACGTGATTCGCGCTCCCGTGGTTTTCACGCCCCTACCAGATAGCGTCAGATTGCCCGTCAGTACACCAGTCATCACATTTAATCCCTTGATTGCCAGGAGCACACTCATGTACAATAAACCTCCATTGCTAGTATACTGTCTGAACGGGTCAATATCTTTGATCAGGTCAGCACTATACCAGCGTTCACATTAGTATAGCGTCCCCAAAAACGCAGCGTTAGCGGGATCAGCCCCTGCACCTGCCAACACCTGCGTTTAGCCCCTACGCTTACCCCCCCCTTCTCCCCCAGCAAGTGCAGTGTCAGTAGGTCACTGTCACTTGATACATTGCACACAAAACCGCAGTGTTCGCAGAATCAGGCCTGATCTCTGTTAGCACTTGCCGTTAAAATTTGATGACTCTCATATGCAGCAGAGTGCCAGTACTAGTGCCGCTCTACCTTTTGGTGAACTGTCGAGTACCAGCAGTCTAGTACATCCTGGTCTTTCACATACCTCCTTGATTTTTGGAGCTGTTTTTCACGGAATATCTGTATGCGTTGATTGTGAATCAAAGCAGTTTATATGCACAACAATTTATTGCCGCCAACCCAAATTCAAACTTTGCCAGACCATTCGCATGGAAACTCATTACGGTTTTCAAATTTACATTTTTTTGGGGGCCTAACCCTCAACATGGGCATTACTAAAAGAAATGAATTGCGGTTGTATTGGTCCGCA